GAAAGGCATTGCCACATGATTTGCCATTAATGGCTGTGATGGTTCAACAAATAGAAGGAATGCGTGATATCATTACAGAGAAACACGTGTGGCATCTAAGTGATAAAGCTATCAAGAATGTTTGTAAGTTAAACACTTGGGGTTTCTTGAGAGATTTTATTTTCTTTCTTAGACTTTTTTTTCTTCTTGTTCTTATGTTTTGATATTGATCTTGATATGGCAGATATGTTCTACATCATGTTCACTTGTTGGGGATGTTTGTACTTCGGTTCAGCAAAAGTATGAAAACAACAACTCAAACTGAATCTTTTGATACATTTGCTGCATTGGGATCTTAATAGTACTTTGTGATATTGGATCAATACAGGATCCATTCTATGACTCAGAGGAGTACCGTGGAGATGGAGGGGATGGAACTGGATATTGGGTCTATGAAACTGTATGTATCTCTCCCTTTCTAATACTATTAGGAAAGAAAGAAAAAAACTTAGAAATGCATACAAATTATAACTAGGGATGTTGCAATGGACCGACCAACCCGCTGTGGTCTTACTAGACCCTGTGGACCAGTTCAGATCTAGTTTGACCTCAGACTATCCCACCTTGGTCTTAGTAGGCCATGTAGACCTGTTCAGAGCCGGTTTTGAGTACTCCTCCATGTGTCTCAGCATGCGATAAACCTCCCTAAACAAAGAAAAATAGGTGGCTTTTAGGTTAGCGTTTACCGTTGGTATATATGCACCCAAAAATATGAATCCACAACCTTGATCATCTAAACGAAAGTCACAATCTGATAGATGGTAGGTAACATTGATCCATCCTATTGATAGATCAATCATGCTTAGTAAGTTTGAGCCGGGTTGGGCTTGATATAATAATTCAAACGTTAACAGATCTGATGGTAGGTAACATTGATCCTAAGTTGGGTCGGGCTGGGCTTGCTCGGGCCATTGACCTTTGGTATATCATCACAGATTCACAATGTGTACAACTATTATAAGATTGGATAGAGTTGTTATTGTGTTTTGGGTTATATGATGCAGCAAGAAGACATAGAAGAGAAAGCAAGAGCGGAGCTATGGCGTGAAGAACTTATCGAAGAAATTGAACAGAAGGTTGGTGGCTTAAGAGAGCTTGAAGAAGCTGTTAATAAGTAGAAAACTAACTTGTGAATCATAAACCACTTTACATACACATTATATATTTTCTTATATCAGTCATACAACATTATATATACTCTCTAGCTTCCATATATATAATATATGTTATCTGCTTCTTTGTTGTGTTGTGTTCTGAATCATTGAACGATCATGTTAGGAGCAATTGTCTCCTTCAGAAATTTATTGTTGACGACATCCGATTTCTTAAAAATATAAATAATTATGTTTGGTAAACTATCTTAATTTGCTTTTCTTGATTTCTTCGGTCGCAAGTTGGTCAGAGTGAATATTTATTATTTTTAAGTATAAAAAATTTAGTCAATTGGGGCTAAATTAATTGGTCGTATAGACTGGAAAGTGAGTCTGATGAGGAACAATTAGCGGGAAATACGCTTCTGCACGATTCTACCTGACAAAAACCAAAACTAATCAATCTTTAAAAACAAAAAATAAGTTAGCAGAGGTGAAGAAGGAGAGCTTGTCATGTCTTTGGGAGAGCTTGTCATGTCTTTGTCAGTAACCTTCGTGCTTCCATGTTTCAAAGCCTCTTCGAGCTTGTAATTGTAAACCACACGTGTGGTTTATTGTTTTTGTTTTCTTTTCAAATTTAAGTTTAATTTTCAGATATTTCTTTTTTTTGTGTGTGTGTTAGGAACACATGACAGGAGATATGATGTAACATTTTTATTTAAACAAAAAAAAGATCTGCATCACTGCATGTAGTGTATTTTGTCGTGTGTCAATTAATTCTTATAGTTGTACAATTTTAATTCTGCCCCAAACATGATTGATGACTTGTTAATGACACATATTTACCATATTCCATTATAATTATTTTTTTCATTATACAGTTTCATAATAATACATTTCAATTTTCGGTTACCAAAAAACACCATTACACATTTCAACACAAAATTTATACTATCATACGATTATATAGACAATCTCGTTTCCGTCAGCCTCCTTGTGGATCTTGAATGTTCAATCCACACCTCCACATTTTGTAAGTAAGATCTTGAAACTCCTTCTTCAAACCTCGATCTATCTGATTTATAATGAGCGTAATAAAAAGATTTTCTCAAATGAATCTAGTACCATCCATGCTACTGAGTCTCTTGTTACGCACTATACGCAGTCGTCTCATCTCCTTCTCGCTGGAGGATATCACTATCAGCATTTCTCTCCTTGAGTTTTACTTTGGTTCTATCAATTCACCTCATTAGTTGTGATACAACTCATAGTTATCTCTTTTAATAAAATGTTATATTAGCCTTTTTTGGTGTGTTTTTGAGATTTTCATTGTACAATGTACACCTTTTTTTTTATTTGGTGTAAAGTTTAACATTAAACCAAAAAAAAGAAAGGATATAGACAAAATTACATGTCAACATTTTTGTGTCCTTGAGCATTCTAGAACGACGAGAAAGAATCAACCAGGACCGAGTCCCTTTACTTACCAATCTCTCTCTTCAATACACGCCAACGAAGACTTAGCTGGCTTTTTATCCACATGTGCATTGCATTGACCAAGTCTCTGTCACAGCTCCCATTTTCTCCACGTGGCACCCATTAATGTCTCATTCTCGACTTCATATATCACAGCCCCGTGACCAATGAATTTCCTCAAACTGAGATTTTATTACAGACAGATCTGTGTACTTTTATTTTATTACCACTAGACGTGTCCACTGCGTGTACTGTACCGAGTAACAAAAGAGAAAATAAAAAAGGAATGAGAACACACAACAAATCAAATTATAGCTTTTATTTCGTCACACCTTTCTTTTTATTTAGTTAAGGAAAATGAGAAAATTATCCAATATTGAATGTTTCTAAAGCAGATATTAAAATACGCGGTCAAAATTCTCGCTTTATAAACACATCTCTTCTTCTTCTAGCTTTCATCAATCATCATCATCACTCTCTCTCAATCCAACAAAGAAAAAAAAAGTCTTCTTCTTTTTTTACAAGTCTGAGAATTTTCTACAGAAACAAAAATCTGATTGTTTTTCCCACTTTGCATCTGTTTTGAGGATGCCAGCTACGGATTTTCAAGGATCATTTGGAAGGTCGTTGCTAAGTTTACGGCGAGACCAAGTTGACTCATCAACAGTCGTCGCCGGAAGTAGTAGCCACCACGAGCCAAGCACCATGGAGGTTGAGCTAGATTCGTTTCAAAGACAAGTCGCTGAGAAATTCATCGATCTCAACGCTTCTTCAAACGACCTTCTCTCTCTCGAATGGATCGGAAAGCTTCTTGATTCTTTCCTCTGTTGTCAAGAAGAGTTTCGAGCTATCGTATTCAACCACCGATCTCAGATCTCTAAATCTCCGATGGACCGTTTGATTTCAGATTACTTCGAACGGAGCATCAAAGCTCTAGATGTCTGTAACGCCATCCGCGACGGTATCGAACAGATCCGTCAATGGGAGAAACTTGCCGATATTGTGATCTCTGCTTTAGATAGTCACCGTCCGATCGGAGAAGGTCAGCTCCGGCGAGCTAAGAAAGCTCTGATTGATTTAGCAATCGGAATGCTTGACGAGAAAGATCATCCTTCTGGAACCAATCTAGCTCATCGTAACCGTTCATTCGGAAGAGTCAAAGACAGTCACCACCGTTCGATTGGTCATTTCAGATCTCTTTCTTGGAGTGTTTCAAGATCATGGTCAGCTTCTAAGCAGTTACAAGCTTTAGCGAGTAACTTGGCAACGCCTCGACCAAACGATGTCGTTGCTAGCAATGGTTTAGCTGTACCGGTTTACACAATGACTTCGGTTTTGCTTTTTGTGATGTGGGTTTTGGTAGCTGCGATTCCTTGTCAAGACCGTGGATTGCAAGTTAACTTCTTTGTGCCTAGGCATTTCCAATGGGCAGCTCCGGTTATGTCGTTGCACGATAAGATTGTTGAGGAATCTAAGAGAAGAGATAGGAAGAATTGTTGTGGTTTGCTTAAGGAGATTGATAGGATTGAGAAGAGTTCGAGGTTGATGAATGAATTGATCGATTCGATTCATTTCCCGTTGAATGATGACAAGGAAGTTGAGGTGAAACAGAGAGTTGATGAGCTTGTTCAAGTTCGTGAAGCTTTGAGAAATGGTTTGGATCCGTTTGAGAGGAAAGTAAGAGAAGTTTTCCATCGGATTGTGAGAAGCAGAACTGAGAGTCTTGATTCTCTTTGATCTTGCACATGTTTGTCTGAATATGATGAATGATTCATGTTTGGATTTTTTGTTTTGTTTTTGTTTTTCTCTATTTATCCTTTTTGATCACTTGTAAAAAAGAAACTCAAAGAGTGTAGAAGTGTCATCTTCTCTTTGTGATGCTAATAGTGATTCTGTTCTTCTTTGTGTAGCTACTTGCTTAGATTGAAGTTATTTTTTCAATGAACAGTTGTAACAAATACTTCATTGAATTTGAAAGATTACATTCAAGAAACAAATGAATCTTTATTTAGAGAAGAGGTTCAACTAAAGGGTCTGTTTTACAATTCAAATGAAGCACATACAAAAATCTAGACATAACCTTAAATTTCTCATCTAATCTTCACAATCTTCTGCTGGCTTGAGTCCAGCTTCATGTTTGTGACGTCCTACTTTATTTCTTGCAAGTGATTCTTCCTGCAAATAGAGCTCAAATGAAATCCAAATAAATGATTAGGGATTAGAACAGAACAAACATTTGTTGTAGACAGTATTCACGGTTTGCCTCAGACATAAGTGATATTCATCACTGAAAAATCTGATAATACGTGCAATTGTTTAGGCACATCATTGGCAAAACCAACTAAATACCCAAGCAAAAAAAATGTTAAATAATGAGCAAAGGATTCTTAGTTATGTGCATCAGAGAGATTCCCATCTAGACATTAGTCATCATTATAGAACTTCTGATGTCCCTGTCTATTCATCGTCACTTGCACTAGTCAAAAGACACCAAAAGAGTATCAAAACGAAGCAAAACAGAAAATACTAGATCAAAGTTGATAAACAGTCTGTGAGATATGCATCAGAGAGATTCCCATCTAGACATTAGTCATCATTCTCATCTCCTAACAAGGAGATTCTGATGTCCCTGTCTTTTCATCATCACTTGCATAAATCAGGCAACCAAATCAAATCAGAAGCTAGAAGAGCTACCAAAACCAAATCATTAATAAGCTCAAAGATCACAGTAAAATAAGAGAAACCAGATGTGTAAAGAGAGAGAAAAAATGCCTCAGAGTTGATTTTTTTTTCGTAGAGACGCATCTCTCAAAGTATATTTAACACCATCACAGGCATCAAAATCAAAATATACATAACAAAAACAACCAAAAAACTTGCAAAAAGATCAAATCTCAAAACATTAACATAGGTCAATTCTAGGGTTTATCAAGAAGTGATAAATAGACGTATTTAAGAAGAGAGGCGGAGCTAATTAGGGCAGAGACAAGTCAAAGATATTAATGGGCTTTCTACTTTGGCCCAACGAATACACATGTTAATCAATTAACAAAAAACGGTTTGGTTTTGTCGGTTTTTAAGGCAATTGAATTAACAAAACCGGTTTGGTTAAACCTTTGTCTCTCTCTAGCACAGAAGCACACAATTCCGTTGGTCGACGTCTTAAGTTTCCCAGCGAAATAAAAGGTTGTCCCTTCGTCTGCTTCTGTGAGCTTTCTCTCTGTTCCACCATTAATCTTTCCCCTTTTTCTCTTATTCAAACTTTTCTTCCTCCTTCTTCTTCCTCGGGACAAATCTTTTTGGTGCCTTTTTTTCTTTCTTTCCTCCTCCATGATCTTTCTCTTCTTTGTGACTTTCGCCTCCTCTGTGCTCATTTTCATGAATTCTTCTCTTGTTTCGACGCAAACACCCATTTTTGTTTCCTCTGTTTCTGCTGCGAAAGACCCCTTTTTTAAAAAAAAACATCTTCCGTTACAGTGAATTTTGTTGTCTAGAGATAGACTCTGTGTCCGAATTTAGACGTCCCCCATCTTCAAAGATTGGTGCTCTTCTTCTTCTTTTAAAACAAGTTTCATCATTTTCTCAATAGGGAGAAATATACAATCAATTCCTTCCAATAAGTAGAATTTTATCAGGTGATTGAAGTGAGTATTCGAAGAAAATGTTTAGTCTTTAGAATATTTTCATTGTTGGTTATGGGATTTTGATGCTGTATTGGTTTTGAACAGGGGATGGGAAGGGTTAAGTTGAAGATTAAAAGACTTGAGAGCACAAGCAACAGGCAAGTTACATACACGAAGAGAAAAAATGGGATTTTGAAGAAAGCCAAAGAGTTATCGATTTTGTGTGATATTGATATTGTCCTTCTTATGTTTTCCCCTACCGGAAGAGCTACTGCTTTCCATGGAGAACACAGGTATAATTATCAAAATCATTCTTATGTTTTGTTGTTCTTTTATCATCTTTAGTTCTGTGTTTAAATGCATCATATCTCCATTTTTGATGCATTGTGTAATCTTCTCATTGCTCTTCTATCACAAAAAAGGTTTCACTGATTTTGGTTTAGGAACTGAAAGTTTTTATAAGGATTTAGTTTGAATGGTGAGTGTATTTAGAAGATCACAGATAAGGGGTATTTTGACCAGTTGGTTTAGTTGGGAGCTTTTGGCTTTGGGAGAGATTAGAGACTCTAAAACAGAGCCTAGTTTTTTTTTTATAGTTTCCTTTCTGTTATCAGTTCTTAGATAATGTTCTTCGTGAGTGATTTGGCTTCCTGAATCTCTCAGAGGGATGAGAGATTGAGGTTCTGTATTCAAGTTTTTAGCAATATACTGATTTTAGTCTTAACTTGGCTTTTGTGTAGTTGCATTGAAGAGGTTATTTCCAAGTTTGCGCAATTAACTCCACAAGAAAGGACAAAAAGGTATGGTAAGCATTATGTTGAAAATTTAAATTACTATCAATCCTGATGTAATTTTGTGTTATGAACCTAAATTGAAGTCTCTTTCTTTTAATATTACAGGAAACTGGAGAGCCTTGAAGTAAAGACATAAAAACTCACTGTGTATATCATCAACTTTTGTTTTTTTTTGAAACACAAATTTGAGCTGATTTGTTTTGCTCAATTGCAGGCATTGAAGAAAACTTTTAAGAAACTGGATCATGATGTAAATATACATGACTTTTTAGGAGCAAGGTACTTGCCGTGAGTTCTTACTATTAATAACCATATTTTGTCATTGTAAGCCTCTCACATATCTGAGATGTTGTCTTCTTTATCCTGCAGGAATCAAACTATTGAGGTATGGATCGACCATCTTCGGTTCATGAATTTTCTTGGATACTTTTTAATCTCTTTGAGTCAAATTGCTAAAGTCTGTGTTAACATTACCACACGACAGGGTCTAAGTAACCAAGTAGCCATTTACCAAGCTCAGCTAATGGAGTGTCATAGGAGGTTGAGGTGTGAAAATTTATAGTATCTTGAGTTATAAAGTTTTTGCTTTTTGAAATATAGTTTCAATCATATTTGAGTCTTTTTCTTCTAATGGCTGTTTTCAGTTGTTGGACGAACATCGATAGAATAGAAAACAATGAGCACCTCGATTTATTGGAAGAATCATTGAGGAAATCCATTGAAAGAATCCAGATTCACAAGGTGCGTTATCATATTTTCTTTTTCTCGATCATATAGACCTAAGACTCAGGATTCATTTCAGTTTCCTGAACCCATATAAATTTTGTTTACAAAAGATGTTTCCATTCATTTTGCAGGAACATTACAGAAAGAACCAACTCTTGCCAATAGAATGTGCAACAACACAGGTTATAACCATTTTGTCGCCTTTCCCCTCTCTTTCTCTTTGTCTCTCCTCAGGACATATTCTTAACCAGGCCAAAGCCTTTTACTGCAGTTTCACAGCGGGATACAGTTGCCTATGGCGATGGGAGGTAATAGTAGTATGCAAGAAGCTCACTCCATGTCTTGGCTTCCTGATAATGATCACCAGCAAACAATCTTACCTGGTGATTCCAGTTTTCTTCCCCATAGGTAAGAGTATAATAAAGTCACAGTTTCAAAAACCTTTTCATTATAAAAATGCTCACTCAAGTACTGGTTTCAAACAGAGAGATGGATGGTTCGATTCCCGTTTACTCAAGCTGCTTCTTTGAGTCTACGAAACCAGAAGATCAGATATGCAGCAACCCGGGACAACAGTTTGAGCACTTAGAACAACAAGGAAACGGTTGTTTGGGCTTACAACAACTTGGAGAGGAATATTCATATCCTACACCGTTTGGTACTACTTTGGGAATGGAAGAAGATCAAGAGAAAAAGATAAAATCTGAAATGGAATTGAACAACTTGCAACAACAGCAACAGCAACAACAACAACAACAACAACAACAAGATCCTTCAATGTATGATCCCATGGCTAATAATAATGGTGGCTGCTTTCAGATTCCTCATGATCAGTCCATGTTTGTCAATGATCATCATCATCATCATCACCACCATCATCAAAATTGGGTTCCAGATTCAATGTTTGGTCAGACTTCTTACAACCAGGTTTGTGTGTTCACACCTCCATTGGAACTATCTAGGTAGATGATACACCAAACTGAATATGTCTCTGTATCTTTGGTGATTGCAGCAACCGAACTAACTCAAGACATGGCTCATGTATGTATGATGACTGGACTAATGTCTGACCAAGGACTAGTTTGAGCCATTGCCTACAATGTCTAAGATAACTATTTATATGTAGACAGAGAGAGAGTGTGTGTACATGTTTTTGTATGTGTGAGCTTGTGTCATATACTCAGGGGAGTTTTAGGCATTTTGTGTATAAGAGATGTTGTCTAGGAACCGTATATTACCTTTTACAAGAATGATAAATACATCAATATATTAATGTTTTTTATAGATGTTGGCCAATTTATTGTTCGAGACCAAATGGATTGAATTTTAAGATTAAAAAAAGGAATGATATATGAAAGTTGGTCAACTCTCTCCATATGAGTGACACATTATTACACAAGAAAATGACATGTGTCATTCTATATTAATTAAATAAAAAATTAATACAATTAATTGAGGAAGAATCAAAAGTCTTTTGTTGTGTTAAATTCTGTATAATCTCTTTTTTAATAAATTTTTTTAAAATATTCAAAAAATAAAAAATTATAATAATATATCAAGTACTACTTTCATTTTATTCTACTTATTTTTAAAAATATTTTTATCAATAGTTATCAATTTATAATGGCTAAAATTTACTTTTTGTTGTAGTTTAAATGTTTGTTACCTAACCTCATATTATTTAGTAATTTTAGTTGGATATTTTTTTATTATTACGTTATATGAATATGATTTATCATATGACCTTCTTTCTGTTTATATTTGTGCGTTCTGATAACTTGGTAACATTGATATACATTTTTCAAGTAATGGTCATCCGAGACATTAGACATATCCACACAAAAAACACGAGACTCTATATGGCTATATGCAAGGGAAGAGAATTAAAGTGTTGACTTGAATTACTAGCATATCATGATGTGATTAGTGTACTAGATAATAAGAGAATATATGGAATAAAGAATTGTTTGTTACAATTAAGTTAGGCAAGTTTCAAAATACATAAGTAATATAACTACATATTAATATATCATATAATTTTGTTGTATGTGTTTATGATAGTGAAATATTTGAATAATAGGTCTATAAATATTCATATTATAGTAAAATTGATATTTCGAATTATAGATAAATTTAATTATAAAAAATAATAACTCTATAAAATAGATATGACTTTATTACTTACACATTAACACACACACAAAAATGAACATCAAAATCAACAAAAGACCATAATCATATATTCCGACAATTTTAAAAACAAAAACTCATGCGTAGCATAAGTTTCATCTAGAATAACAAATTAACTAATAATAACAAATATGTAGGTACGTAA